TTGTGTTTTTCATTTTCATGGTCTATAATGTTATCATTTGATCTCTTTTTTTTTTTTTTTTTTGTTCTTGTCCTTGAAATGTTAAAAAAAATAAAAATTGTTGAAATGATTGAGCATGCATATGAATGAAAGAAACAAAAGAGATGGTAAGATAAAAATTGTGGGTTGATGTTCCTCATTCAACCTAATGCTGGCCGAGAGAGAAAAGTTGAATATTGAAAGAGTCAGAAGTCCTTCAATATTTCTTGAAATACTGATTATAATTTTGATAACCTACTTGTATAATCATCAGTTTACTGGTCTCACAAGCCATTGATAGTGTGTTGGAATTTAATAGAAATAGTGGCCTTGTATATAAAAATTCAGTACATGTGTATGCATATCTTCATTGTGTTTTTGTGTTCAAAACAAACATCACTAAAAATTTTTACTCATACTCATTAAACTCCTTTCACTTTATTTAAAAAATAATATGTATTTATGATATCATGCTCTGTTGCTTGAGGTCAAGAATACACCCTATAATGCTTCCACCAAAGGAGATAGTTGTTTACTGTCTACAAACAGTGCAAAAAATGGACACCTATGCCTAAGTTTTTTGCCTCTTATGCAAACTGGACACTTATGTCTACCTTTTTATGCTTCTCATACAAACCAGATATATGTCTACCTATTTGTTGTTTATCAAAACTACACCCCATAGCACTTCCACCAAAGGAGATACTTGATTACTGTCCACAAACAGTGCAAAAAACGTCTACCTATCTTGTTTATCAAAACTACAGAATTTGGCATTAAATAACCTCTAAAATGTACTGTAAACTCTAACTTGTAATATGTGGCATAGAGAAAAATTATTAATAGTCAGTCATTGCAGTGAAAAGCAACTGAAATTAAGATGAAAGATATACTTATTAAAATTTTAATTATGGTTGAATATTTTTCTGCATTTAATAATCAAAAAAATTCAAGTGATGTGGGAGTAGTGGCATGGGAAATGTAATCGGCAAGCAGATTTCAACCTTGAGCTTTGTCTTTTGCATTTACTTTTGCACTAATGCCCTTGAGAATGGCATGAATACATTACTTCTCCCTTCAGCTACAGGTTAAATGACAAAGAAGACTGGGCTCTCTAGCCCTGGATAGCAACCAGTCTAAGAGAATGAACACTCTGAATACCAAACCATGGAGAAGGCAGTAGAAAACTACTTTAACTTCTCCAAGAAGTCATGGCAGTTGACAGATAATAAAATAAAACAAAAAAAAAAAAACATTAGCTGGCAAATCAAAAACATACACTTCTTAAAGAATTCACAGGAAGTGAATACTCTTCTGAAATCTCCTCCATTCTCACTATAAACAGAAAAAAAAGGGGACTTATTTTAAAAAAAAAAAAAAAAAAAAATTAAAGATAATGTTTATTCCTTTTTGAGGCATACCAAATGATGTGACAATGTTTGTGCAGATGAATCTTTACAATGTCAGAGTGCTACCCCATGAGGGGTTCCGATTGTGCTCCTGTAAGACTTTGGCAAAAGTGGATAGATGCCTTTCCTACAGACATTATTGCTAAGTGAATGAACTGAATGAATTCAGCTATAGTTTGAATTTGATTTACTAATTCCATTCTTGAAACTGTTTGCCTTTAAGCTTGCCACACCACCCAGAATAATTTTTTTAATACTATTTTCATTTTGGACATGAATAACCATAGTTCTCCACACTTTTCTATATTTTTTTTTAATTGCTTGTGAATCACCATGACTTTTTGGAAAAGCTAGTGTCATGGTCCTTTCTTAGGCACCATGCATAAGGCACACTTAGGTGATCATGTCTCTTTTTGACTCTGGTTGCCATTACTTTCTGCAGTAGACTTATTACCATCCAAGGCTATAGGACCCAGTCTGTCTTGCTATTTAATCCATAACTGGGGAGAAAAGAGGTAGATTCATACCTTTCCCAAGGGTATTTGCACATAAGTGAATATAACACACTCGACTGGAATTAGAACTCGACTCTCCAATTTCTCATTCTGAGCCATTATGCATTACATCCCAAACACATCTCATAGTATTATGGTACTACTCCTAAAAACATTATTACATAAACATTTTTTAAACATAATCATATGTCCCCCATATTTGATATAAGTTGGTTAGTAAGGATGTAATGGACAATTGCAGGAGTCCCTTCATATTCTACTCAGATAGCTTTTTTTCCACAAGAACCACCATTTTGTGGAAAGGACTCCTTTGTTGATGTTTCCTAAACATAACAATTTTAACCTCGTCAAGTTTATTGTCAGTCATTACCCATCCTCAAAATCCAGATAATCCTCACTCCCTAATTCCTGCTCTTACCCACATCTCATGCAGTAACCCTCTACCTTCAGTGACTCTTGAACCTTGTATTGGATAAAAACTAGTAAAAAAAAAATTTTTTTTAAAACTTATTTTTTTAATTTTTTTTTTTTTTTTTTTTTAGGAAAGATCAGAAGGAATGGTGAGAAAGGTTATAGATCGAACAAAGAATGAACTCCTACTTTAAGTGTACAAAAGGTTTGACTATTTAGGTCATGTCAGGAATTCAAGTCTTTCAGCTTATATGCAAAAATCTATGGTCATAGCTGAAATCAAAGTTGGCTGAACTATGAAGAAATCCTAGTAATTCACAGATAATAAATCTTCAGCTGTGTCTCATGAATCAAAAAGACATACTTCTTCAAGAATGCACAGGAAGAAACTACTATTCTGCAATCTCCTCTATTCTCCTTACAAGTATAAAAAAAAAGTGACTTGATCATATCTGCCTACGAAAGACATATTTTAATGATTCAGTATCCATCATTTTGCTAACAGAAAGATGATCAAATTTCAAATCTATATTGGGTACTATTTAAATATAGTGGTCCACTCATAAAAAAAAATAGGGTAAATTTTTTTTGTGGAAATAATTTTTGTTGATTAGCATTGTTTAGACTTTCTTTATGCGTGACATTTGTCAGAATTGAAAAATATTGATTTTTAGAAGGGTAGTGGTCCTGTTTATAATATTGATAGTGTGTCAAAGTGATCCCTGACTTTGGAGAGTTATTGACCTTAGGCTAAGCCTCAGTTAACTGTTATTTATAAATGTCAAGTTTGAAACTTCATCATTCATATCTTTTATTCATATTTTTTTTTTTTTTTTTTTTTTTTTTTTTTTAACGTCTTTTAAACATATTTTTAAAAACTTATTTTATATGGGATCTTTTTGGAAGCACATGCACAAACATGTGAAGTCAATAATTAGTTACCTTTTTTTCTTTTTTTTTTTTTAACCAATTCACCTCAAGCAAGATGATAAGATCACTAAGATGCAAGGGGCTACTGGGAGTAAAAGAGAATGAAAAGACTTTAGAAGGAACCCAGAAACCCAGTCGTAAACATTGAACAAGGGATAAACCTCTACTCCTGTTCAAAAGACCAGGAAGGAGTGTGTACCTGGTGATAGGCGATCTTAACTTAAACATAAATGGATATTGTAATTTTATTTATGTAAACATTTTTATTTTCTTTACTGAAAAATGTATGCATCTCTTTGTTATTTAAGAGAAAACTTTTGTAACCCACATCAAAAAAAAAAAAAAAAAAAAAAAAAAAAGTTTGTTTTCGTATGCAATACAGCTAAGGCTAATATCCTTTGTAAAAATCTTGGGATTAATTTGAAATTATATCAGTATTACAAACAAGACCTCTCCACTTTTAAATCAGTAAGAAAACAATATTTTTCAATTCCTACAAATGTTGTGCCTAAGGAAGTTCTAAAGAATGCTAATCTATGAAAATTATTAACTAAAAAAAAATTTTCCCTATTTTTTGTGAGCGGACGACTCTATTTAAGTAGTGTCTAATTTAGATTTGAAATCTTTCAATTTTAACAAGTGCCACAGCCTAAGGAAGGTCAAAAGAACGCTAATCTACAAAAATTTATGAGAGACCCAGTCCTGTTCAATAGTTCCCTATATTGTTTGTCCCTTTTAACCTTTAGCATTCTGCATTATTAATATTAGTTCCTTTTCCACTGCATTCTTTTTCAAGGTCTCTCAGTTACAGTCTCCTTATTGTTAATTTCACTCAAGTTGTTTTCTGCTGCCATAGCTGGATATGACAACACAACTATGATATTCAAACAAATTCAAATTCAAGGATCAGAATCACCTCCAGTGGCAGTATAAACTTTTTGTACAGCAAATGAAGTCACATACAAAGTGATAAGGGTTAAAATTTGTTAGAAGATATATCATGTTCTGGTATTTCAATAGATCACAACTTTCTTACTTTGAGAAAAGATTACTTTAAGAATAATAACCACCTTTTCTGATTAATGTTTTCTTAATATTTAAAAGTTTCAGCAAAAAAAAAAAATTTTTTTCAGTCTGAATTTCTGGGATGAGGATGTATCATTATTTACAGTTTGACTTATATCCTTATTTTTGTTGTTGTTATCATGTTTCACCCATCAAGCCTCCATTATATGTGACTATCATACTGGGTAACCTACAGGGAATTTTCAAGGCTTCAGCAGCAGGCAGGATGAAAGAATATTAGATTTAAGGCTTTGAGTTCTACACTTAAGATTGTCCCATGGCATAGTTGTTTAGTGGGTTAAAGTATTGATTTGTGAATTTGGCGACATAGTTGTGTGTTCAATCCATAGACCAAGTAGTACAGACTTGGACTCAGTGGAAACAGGGTGAATAATAACTGAGCAGTATTAAATAAGCAAAAAATGAGATACTCCTAAACAGATGAACAAGAACAATCTAGCCCCCCGAGATTGAATAAAGGGTTCAGTTCGAAATTCCCTGAAACCTTAAACCTAATGTCACTTGACACTAGTTTGAGTATATAATAATGATTATTCTTTTTTCAGTATTTTTGTTTGATCAAAATTCGTTATTGATTATGATCATGTAAAGAATAACATAATGTGAAAAAATTTGTTTTTCTTTTTAACAGGTACGTAAAAAATCTACAAAGCTGAGAGAAATGGAAGAATTTGAAGAAATCGAAAAGAAGCAGACCAGTACAAAGAAAACGCCAATAGACCCCACAAAGAAACCCAAAACCCAATTGCTCAACATTCCGGGTCACATGCCAGTCAGCCCCAAAAAACTTAAACCGTCTAAATCAAGTGATGAATCCCAGTCCCCAGTAATGCCACAGAAAACTGAAGATATCCCCTCCAAAGGCAGTGTCATAAAATTTCTTCTTAGCTCACCAACGCAGCCATCAACGCCTGTCTTGGCCACACATTCAGTTTTGAAGACCAAACCTGAGTCTCTACTCACTGAGAAAAGCTCACCTCTTAAAAAAAGCCCCAAGCCAGCAAAATCTAAAACAGACATGACACTTTTACAGACATTGACCAGCTCATTAACAAGCTTACAGTCGCCGGCTAAAAAGCAAGGTGACACAGAATTAAAATACAGGCTGATTGTTGGATCAAACCAGTCTGTAGCATCATCTGGAAAATCTGCATTATCTGTTGACACGACGACAAAAATTCAATCAGAGGTTGTGTCTGATGCCAGCACCAAGGATGGTAGCCTGAAAATGAAGTTTATTCTGTCACCAAAGGAGAAACCTTTAGGGCAGTCTTTAAGTAGTTCGACCAATGACAAAGCACAAAATGATGTCCCTACAATTCCCCAAACGATTGCAGAGACCAAATCACCTCCCAGCAGCAAAATGTCCATATCCAACCTTCCTTCTGTTCTCCCCGTCCCTGTCCCCAAAGCCATGCCAATTCACAAGACCATCCCCACCCCCAAACCAGTATCAGCTTCTAAAATGGTTTCATCCATTAAGACAATTCCAAGTGCGGAGGCCATTTCTATTCCAAAAACAATACCAGGCACAAAAGAAGAACCAGATACAAAAGAACTACCAAAAGTGATTCCGATCACAAATGTCATCCCTGGTGTTAAAACCATCACTATTCCCAAAAACCTGCCAGTTGTGAAGCCTGTTCCAGCAATTAAGGTTGTCCCTGTGGCCAAACCCTCACCTCCAGCCACAAAAATTGTCACTGTGAAGAAACCAGTCAGTAGCAAAAATACAAGCCAAAATAAGTCTCCATCAACATCGAAATCTAAAAGTTCTACTCCAAAGGCAACACCAAAGACAACACCTGATTCTGAGGAGAAAAAAGTTAAAAAAGCCAAGAAGAAGAAAGGGAATTCTGAGAATTCAATTGGTTCTCCTTCAACTCCTGTGATTCACAAAACGATTCCAGCCATTCCTGGACAAAGTGGTTCCACAGTGAGCTTGCCAACAGGCCGTAAAACATCACCGACCAATGTTACTTATTTCTCTGCTGCTAAAGCAGAGACTACGACCGACCTGAGCAAGTTTGATTTTACAGATGAGCCCAATCTAGTGATTGCAGAGCCAAGTTCCAAGACAGCCACAAAGACGAAAAAATCTCCTTCCAGCCGACCCCCAAGCAAAAAGAAAGCAAAAATAGATGGGGATCAGATTAAAACCAAACCAGAAGATATTAAAGAAGGTATTAGAATTCTTTTATTTTTTAATATTTTGCTTTGTTAGGCTATTTAGCAAATGTATTTCTCTATTTTATAATTATATTTAAATTATTTTATGTAAATTTTATGTAATTATAGGTATACCTCACCCTACGTTGTTAATTGATTCCAGAGGTCACGACTTGGGTCAAAAAATGATTTAAGTCAAAATAATCACACTATAAACCACAAATAAGCATTCCCCATTGCATATTACAGTATTTATGATATGTACGTACAGTATTCTGAATAGAATAATTTATCAGCGATATAACCTTACGCTTAGCATTAGCAATGAAAGAATGGTCTGACAATTTTTTCCAATATAATCCAGTTTCGTCAACGTTAAAAATCTGTTCAGGAAGAAACCTGTTTTCTTTGATGATCTTGGACAATGCTTTAGGAAAATCAGCTGCTGCTTGTTTGTCAGCTGATGCACTTTCTCCTTGCTTCTTAATAGTGATAACATTTACCATAAATGTTCGTATTTTAATATGATTTTATATACTTCTATTCTTATTTATTGAACAGTAGCATGATTTTATGTGCTTTTAACGCTTTTCTAATGATATTATGACTTCAATATTTGTGGAGGACAGACATAAAGTTGAATAAAATGACTTGATTTTTATTTCTCCATATTTTTTTTGACAAAAGACGTATAATCAAGAATGACTTTACTTGAAACAACATAACCGAGGTATAGCTGTATATTATAAATATGATGTAATCATATAATTGAATGCAAATTATTTACATATAATTTTCATATACATTTGTGTATATAGATGTGTTTGTATGTGTATATATATATATATATATGGGCACATGGCTGAGTGGTTAGAACATTCACTTTCTGACCATGAGACCTGGGTTTGAATCTCACCATTGTTGATTTGTCAGGAAGGAGACTTCCTGATGTTATCGTTCTG